GCTGGGAAATTTTCGAACTTACGTTTTTAAGTGTAGACTAAGAACCTTGTAAGACTAAGAACTTTATAAATGTAGGTGGTCATCTTCACAAACCTGGTCAAGATCTCTTCTGTGGTCTCCTACAGTGTCTCTGCCAAGCTGCTATCGAGAACCACAATTTGTAAATTTGAGAAAGACCCCTCTCTCTAATTCATGTAGTGATCTAAAAGGAATTCAGGTACTGTAATGGATTAACATGCACATTATTATTGTGAAAGGTAACACCTGGAATTCTACTCAACTACATTCTGTATTTTCTTCCAATTTGGATAAATTGGCATAAAAAAAGCAGAGTTCAAAACATATGGCTCAAAGCCTATAATTCACATGTCATTTATTGCTCTTTACTTAATTAACATTGAAGTCACTTATGAAAGTAAAACCTAGTACTTGTCTAAATGTATATGCCTCAATTTCCATTGAGCTGCCTGATTAATCAGTGTAAGACACAGAGGAGGACATATTTTTTTTTTTTGCTCAGGTAAGTGAGCAAAACCCATTTTCCAACAGAGGATGCATTTTATTCCAGCTAACAATCCGTATGTCTGTATATCAAGTCCAGAAATCATCATACCACACTTTCCGTGTAAATCACAACCCTCAGCAGGACTCCTTGGTTTTGTGAGTTGAAAATCAGCTTTAGCCATGTGGCCAGTGTTATTCACAATCTTACTGTGGACATCTGTGGTGGAGTTCATAACCCAGTATCTTTTTCTCCATGATGACAACACTACGTTGGTTTCTATGAATCCTGAGGACCCATTAGAAATCTCTGTGTATTAGTGTTTTCAGCCATTTTCTTCTCCCTTTCATTCCCACCTACCATGTTTAAATTACCGTCCTGACACTGGAGACAGTGAGCATAGGATTGAAGTCACAAAACAGTTGCATAAACCAGCACGAATAGGATGCAGAAAACTGGACCAAATGAAAATTGTGACATGACACATGCAGTTCACTGTAGGATAAACTGCAAGAGAGATGGGTTCTGTAGCCACAGAGAGCTAAACTCGCTGCTCGAAGAAGTGTGCCCAACAGAAAAAGTATGAGTTACTGGAGTAAGAGGCTGAAGCATGGGGACAAATAGCTACATGTGGGGAAAAGGAGAGTAAGTTGAACAGCTTTTGGAGTTGGGGGTGAGTGGGCAGTTAAGGATAAAAGAATAAAAAACATTAAAAACACATTAAAAACACAACTAAACCCATTTCAAGGGTGATACAGAAAATCCTGCTATTTTCCATCACTGAAAAAAAATTCAAACCCTCCCTCTTGGAGAAATGGCACTCCAGATACTGCCAGTTTGCACCTGAAATCTCCTAGATAACCAATCCCAAGCTGCTGTGAAAAAGATTAGGTGAAACAGACACATATACTGACATGATGAAATTTAGATTATCAGGTTAAAACCCTCCATCTGCTCCCTGCCTTTTTTTTTTTCCCTTTTTAGCAAACAAAAGGAAGAAACATGAGAGATTTTAACAAATTCTGTTACCAGCTTAATTTTTCCTATTGTGTTTTTCTTTTTGCTGAGGGATTGTTCAGCTATTACAGTGATGGCCACAACATTAACTGTTTAGACAGATGAAATCCTTACTTTTTCCTCCTAGGCTAAAACTCATTGACGTTACAGACAGTTTTGCCTAAAGATGTTGTGTATGTTAATTATATTTACCTCCTACAATGGTAGGAGGTGTAATGTCTCTTATTTTGCACTTTCTGCGTCTAGTGGGAAAAAAATGAGATGGTTACTGTAGATGGCTCAGCTACTGCATGTTGGCATACACAGCTTCTTGCTCAGACTTAACATAATTTCTATTTTTTCCTGTTTGTGTGAATATTAAATGAGAGAACGAAAAGACTACTTCATTTGAAAGGCTTAATTTCCCTTCTCTTCATTTGCTTTGTTTACTGAATTACATTTCCATAGAAGAATGGTATGTACAACTGTCTCCCCTGACTAAGTGGTTCAAACAAGCTATGAATAAAATAATTTAGATACCATTCACAACCATGTTTTATTAATAACAACTAAGAATATTACTGTAGTGCAATAGGTAGTGAATTTCTGCCCACATTTTTGTCAGACTCTTAGTATTGTGTAACTGTATTACAGAGCTTTCGAAAGATGTGTCATTAAAAGTTATGTAAATAACTATTTTGAGACTTTCAATCAAATGCTCATAGGGTTGCTTACTCCTTTTAAAGTCAGTACTCAGTTGTATTAATGATTTTTTAAATATGTCCGTATTTGAAAGGCAAGTTGTAGTCATATGTTATGAAATTTCTGCTTTCAACCCAAACCTCTCCTTTTGGAAAACAAATGCAAATGATTCCACACTCTTTGCATTCCTATTGTTTATCCGATGGGAAGGCAAAGTAAGGACTATACATACTAAGTAAAGAAAAGACCAGATCTACTAAAAAGCAATGATGACAGATGATTTATTTCTTCAGCCTTTGGCACCTCAACATCATTCACTTGCTGTTCTTCTGAAAGCTGTCGTATTCTTCAGCTGATTATGAAAACTTTATTTTCTTCTATTTCTGGGCAAATCCTTTGTTTGTTGCTGTTAAGATTTATATATGCCTGTTATCACATTCATAGAACTGAAGAAGTATTTCATGTCAACTTTACTTTCATTATTGAACATATGCAATGTGGATCACAAAATGTCAGAGGAGAGCCATCTCGGTGAACTTGGCTAAAATTTTCTGGTATTATAGTTATTTCTGTTTTCTTGAGAATGTATTTTTCTGTACCTGGAAAGCCAACAATTTTCCTTAGAGAATGGGTTATTATGCAGAAAATATGCACTCTTGAAGTTAAGCTTCATGCTGGTAGAATGATTTTAAAGAATAAGACAGCAATGATTACTTCCTAAAAATATATTAACATTCAATAGGAACTACTAAAGAAAACTTGCTCTCCTTTTCAACTGAACATTAGGGTCTCAATACAGTTGGCTGTAATATGAACTTAAATTAAATTCTCAGCTGATTTAACCAGCTCAAGAAATGCAGCGGCTTTAAGTTGTAATGGCAAATTTTCTCTGTGTAGAATACTGGCTCACAAACTTCATGTTTATTTTGAACCTATTAAGACCTTGAAAAGGAGGGAAATCTAAAAGATATTTATTCACTTACAGCTGTTAATGGACCACTCACTCACTGATTACAACAAGATTGCTTAAACCATCCCTGCAGTAGGAATATAATTTCAGATACTAAATTTATAAAGATATGAAAGTCCTGTACGAGAAGACAAAAGAAGACACATAAGGAAACTTGATTTTCTTTTTTTCTTTTTTTTTTTTTACTTTTAATTGTTTTCCACAATCATTTTGTTGAAAGCGGTAACGCACAACGATTTCAAAGGGGCCAAGACTTCACCCATTTTCCTGCTTCATTCCTTGTTTATTGAATTTGTTAGAAAAACTGTTTCCAGAGAGTGAACAAAGTAATTAATAAACAGGAAAAACTAGTCTGAAACTCAATTAATAACCAACTTATTTTTATTAGAGCAAATACAGTTGTGAAAACTGTACATTGTACATTTTGGGTCAAGAATTATAAATAGAGAAACTCATAGATAAAGAGTTCATTCTTTGACAGCAAGAAACTTTAAATAGACAAAATGACATTATTAAGTACATTGGCAGGCTTCATTGTGCTGTCCAAAATGTAGTGTACAGTATAACAACCAATTATAAATAGCCTTTCATGTAAAATACAGCTGTGCACATTCTAGAAAAATACCAACAATTTGTTTGAGCTTTGTTTTAAAAAAGCTTATAAATCATACATATTTATAAATGGTACTAACATGCTTACTTAAATTTATAAACATTTTCATAAGCTTTGTTACCCATTATTTCCAGAGCATAAAGTATTTTAAATAAACATTTAATAGGATTTAAATATGTCAGTTACAAAATTACCTCTCCATGTAAGGAGACAGGGGGTGATTTCACTGTTGGATGGAACATTTTGTCCATTATGTCAAGGCTTATACAGTAACTTTTAAAATTTTGTTCTTAATTAAAAATGACTTTCCTAAATTTAAAACACAATTAAAACTTTGTTTTTTTAATAAATATACAAGTTTTATTTTCATTTGCTCTCTTTCTGCTTTCTTCTTTATCCACACTGGTCAAAACACAGGATTCTCAACATACTTCTGTAAAAAACACCACTGTGTTACTGCCCTGTTTGGAGCTGCTTCGCTGCACAGTATTCAGTCCATACCTACGTTACTTTAATATGCTGCATCCAAAGATAGCTAATGTACTTTGTAAGAATGTTGCCCATTAAACCATGCAAACATGTAGGAAGTTTACAAACAGGTTCAAAAGCTATACTGTATGAAAGATTTTCTAATAGAGATAAAATAAACCATAATACAAGCCCTTTGCTTTTTGCAGCTTTAAATTAAAACACTTACTTGCCAAATGATCACACCACGTATTTTCAGTAAATAAGCATGCTTTTGATTAATATAGGGTACAATAATTACAGGATAATGGCACATAAAAAGAAATGATCACATCATTTGAACAAAGGGCTGTGAAACTACTTAAGACAAACTTTCCAAATGAAAAATTTTGAGGCTTTTTTTAATGCTGAGGTAAAATTATACACGGACTTTAAAGACTTCAAAGGCATCAAATTGATAAACAGTCACTTAACATTCCTAAGTGCTCTACCTGAATGTATTCAACACAAATGTAGTATTTTAAAATGATGGCAATTTATTATGAGCATTAGCTAGCTTAACTGTCATTGGCATGAATGTGTACTCAGACAAGACTTCAGTTTAACTGCTGGCAAAATACCTCAGTGTTGAAACATAATAATTCAAATCACCAGTTACCACAGCACCAGAATTAAAAAAAAGAAAAGAAAAAGAAAAAAAAAAAAAAGAAGAAGAAGAAAAGGAGAGAAAAAAAAAAAAAAAGAGAAAAAAATAGAGAAAAAATAGTCAACATGCAAACTCCGTATCTCGTCCTTGGCTTATTCCGATATTCCACCTCCTGTTTAGAGTGTGCTGATATCAATTTAAGATTCTTGTTTTATTATGAAAAATTTAGCTTGCTATTCGCATAAGCAATTGATCACCTTTAGGAAGGTATCAACATCTTTATATTTTGCAGTCATGGCGTATTAGTTACTAAATCATAAAGGAAAACTGCTCTTCAGGTTTGGGAAAATGAATTCAAGAGTTTTATCTTCAGATTAAAAAAAAATCTTCGTTTTCTGCTTCTGCTGCTGGGCAGAACTGGTAGCTTTCTCCAGGTTGTACTAGACACTATGTTATGGCTATACATCAAATTTCATAAACAACAAATGAACAGAATCATGCACAGGCAAAAGAAACTCGATCCCCCAGAACACTGCAGGAGATGTTAGAAGCAGCAGGTAATGGAATAAGACTGGTGACTGATGATGCTAACTATTTCTTCTAATGAGATAGGAGTGAACACTGGAATCACTTCCACAGCAACAGAATCCTCTGACCACATTCCTCTGGCAGTCGTTTTCCCATCTCCCCACTAAAAACATCAGACGGTAAAATAGTAAGGCAGCTGTTAGCTTCCATCAACAAAAAGTGCAGCTCCGTACATTTCCAGTTTAGTCACACTCTGCTGGAACAGATGGAGAAGCCAACGCACTTCACTGGCGGGGCTGCTTCAGCAGATTATTTTGTTTGTTTTCCAACATGGCTGCTTGCTTCAGCTTTCAGAAGACCCCAAAGCCACGAGCCATCAGCAGAGAAACTGAGCTGGGCCCCTGGCTGAATATTCCAAGTTTCATCTCTCTTGCGTCCCATCCCAATTCCAAGCCTCCTTCCCTGTGTCTGAGTATGACAGGTGCCATTTAAAAGGCTGATGACACAACTGCAGAGAACTGTGGGCTAACACCACTAGTTGTCATGACTTCACTGAAGGGTCAAAACAGTTATATTATTAAATAACTATGTTGAATCACATTCAGGCACAGCTAAAATTAAAGTAGGGAACATTAAAAGTATGCAAAAAAAATTAATCTTTATCATTTTAGGTGGGGTGTATATGGTGATTTTATATGAAAACAAGACCTTTCTTACCTTTCCTAATTCCAATCAAGTTAGAAAATGGACAAAAAGAATGGCTAAACCAATATTCAACAGCATTACCAGGGCAATCATGACAGAGTTGGGGCCCTGAAAATGAAATAAAGATATCAGAATTAATGAAAAGTTTCACACGGTGCACAGCAATGAATATGACCTGAGTTCATAATTTCCACTGGCTTTGTGCCTGCACTGAAGGATTATCTAAATAGTAAAGATACAGACTCTGCCCTAAATCACAGCCATTACCCTTGGTATTGAGATGAGCTGAGTACCATATCTGTGAAAATTACCTGGATAAATACAGGTGTGAATATAATATTACATTGTTCTTAATTACAGTGAGACTAAACCATCTGACAAATATGACTATGTAAACAAATGAAAACAAACCCATCCACACAGGAACAGTATCAGCTTAAAATAAAGAAAAACAAAGAACTTGAACTATTTTAGGAAAGCTGGAGTGCTGCTCTTCATCCTTAATGTAGGTTCCTTCCCAAATTCCAACCGATTTCAAAACAGACATGACGATTGAAAAGAATACCCCTTTTTTGATAACCAAAGGGAAACAAAAGTTACTTACCGCATTGCGCTAACATAACTAACGATGTCCCCATTACAGTTAAAAACCAATTTTACACTGCAAAATTAAACTTATTTTGATTTACTCTGACACCTTACAGACCTATGTACTGAAGAAATGGGAAGTCAAAATACTTCCTAGCTAGAGCTAAAACTGGTTAGAAAACTGTGAAGCCAGAGAACAAACTTTTTAACTCTTTTCAGCAATTTTGGGTAGATTTTTTTTAAGCATGGATGCAACTTGAAATAATGTCCTGAACAGATGGAGATTCTTAATTTTTCTGTTTTCCTCTTAACATATTTGGTTTATTACAAAATATTTTCACGCAGATTTGTAGACACTTGTATTTTAAGGTTGCACATTTACTGTAACAGAAGAACTCAGACATTACTTTCCTAAATCACAAAAAAAGCTGTCAAAAAAATCTCTGCAAAAACCAATCTTCTGAGCTACATAAGTCTCACTGGCTGTGTAAGAAAGGTACATATTTCATTAGAAATGACATTTTTTTTTTATATTTTCCACATGAGAAGCACCTCGTAGAAGTTCACTATCCTTCACAATAACAGTAACATTAGCTATAGAATTTCTGGAATGCTAAAGTTTAAAGGCTTACTATTACTTATTTGCTGCAGCAGTGTAACTGGGAAGCTACTGAATAGTGCTTCTGTCATTATTATATCACATCCTCTGATCCTGAACAGAGTCATTAAACATTTTCTATCAGAAAACACCTCTACACAGTAGTTAAAATGGTAGGCCAGATGTAGACTGCTAAGTTCTTCAGTAAGTCACAAAATATGTGTGAAGGACATGAAGCTGTTTGAACAAGTCCAGGGGAGGGGCATGAGGATAATAAAGGGGCTGGAGCACCTCCTGTATGAAGACAGGCTGAGAAAATTTGGGCTGCTCAGGCTGGATAAGAAAAGGCTGTGTGGAGACCTCATAGCAGCCTTCCAGTACCTGAAGGGGGCATATAGGGATGCTGGGGAGGGACTCTTCATCAGGGATGGTAGCAAAAGGACAAAGGGTAATGGGTTTAAACTAAAACAGGGGAAGTTTAGGTTAGATATAAAGAAGAGGTTCTTTGCTGTGAGGGTGCTGAGGCACTGGAACAGGTTGCCCAAAGAAGTGGCAAATGCTCCTGGCAGTGTTCTAGACCAGGATGGACAGAGCCTTGGGCAACACGGTCTAGTGTGAGTATCTTCACCCATGGCAGGGGGGGTTGGAACTAGATCATCTTAAGGTCCTTTCCAACCTTAACCATTCTATAATTCTAAGATTCTACATTATGTCAAGTACTCCTTAAATCCCTGGGGATTCTAAATCCAACCAGCACTTCTATTCATGATGGCACTAAAGTGCCCTTTGCACCCAATTTGAAGTATCTGTTCACATGTTGAGGAATTAGGTGTTCGAGTTCCAGTAATGATTGAGATTATCAGGATGCTAGTTAAATGTTGCCATAGGGGGATGGTATTGGCAGCAAGATTTGCATTTTGCTTAATGGTGGAATGTCTAGAAATATTCACTAGGAAAATGAAGACTAGGTTTAAAGTCACCTTAGTCAAAGGGATTTTGAATAACAAGTTAGTTATTCAAATCAGTGGTAAGTTTTACTCACTGGGTCACAGAACAGAAGTGGAACCATGCTTCTTCCTTACTGGAAGTGAGCCACTATGTGCCAAAGAATATGAGTGACAGAGAACAGGCATAAAAGGAAAGTGTGACTCCAGATATGGTTACATTTCTGACTACAGCAGTGTAAGCAGCCTTGCAGTAATAGTGTGTAATTCAAGGTTAATTTCTTCTTTCTCTTTCTAGCATGGTCACAGTTGTGCTAGCTTGGGTACTTCTATGCTTTTCTACTGTACAGGAAATCCAAGTTCCCATCAGGATTCCCACCAAATGCATTTGGCAATTGTGAGATTTATGTATGAAAGCCATATTGGAAGATTTTGGACAATAAAACATGTTTTACTTGAAACAGATACTTTGATAATCTTGCAGTTTTGCTGTCTTGGAATGTCAGTGTCAACACTCTTAGAGTGAACCTTCCATTGAATTATGACTTCTTTTGCAAAAAATTCCTAGAATCTTATGACAAGCCACAGTACACATACGCTAATGTTACATCTCTCTCTACAGGAAGTGTGATTACACTATTAATTTCCACTATCACTTGGATTCAGCATATTTCTCTCTGGTGCTGAGACACTGGCACAGGTTGCTCAGGGACGTTTTGAATTCCCCGTTCCTGGCAGCATTCAAGGCCAGGCTGGACACGGCTTTGAGCAACCTGCTCTAGTGGAAGGTGTCCCTGCCCATGGCAGGGACACTGGAACTAGATGATCCTTAAATGTCCCTTCCAACCCAAACTGTTCTATGATTCTACAACTCTGACAGGGGCACCAGTGTTACCAAATCAGGTCAATAGTTCCTTTATAGCTCAGGATCCCACCTAAAGATTTTACAGTTGTATTTTACAGTTGTACTGCACCAAGAATTGCAAGGAACTGTGAAGGACATCATCACCTAACACCATTAAAATTCATAGGGATTTCGCTGTCTAATTCTTTGCATATTTGAAAATAATATCCATGGAAATCGAGTTGATTTACTGCTATTGAAGGTAAATTTGGACCTCTGGAGACTTCACAGGAACCTGAAATATACCCTGAAACAGCATCCTGATAGCTTCAAGAGAGCTTTTGGCTGCATGGCAAGTCAGGACTGCAGCTCATAAAGCAACTTGGTATCACTGGTGCCCCATCTTAGAGAATCAAGCTTCATGAAAGGGGAAAGGACCTCTTTATGATGCATGCATCAGTCAGGTTATGTATAACAATCTCATCACAATAGCATTATATAAATCAGGCTAAAAACCCTGGGGACTATGATCTGAATCAAGAAATCTCATCTACAAAGAAGAAATTGACACCTTAAGAACTGAGCTGCTGATGATCAAAGGAAAACGTTTTATCTGTTTATGATAATGAGTCTATGCTGTATACAAAGAAGCAAATCTGATCTCTTTTGGCCTGCTATCAGCATTTTGCTTCCTTTTCTGATAGCCACAACTTTCAGCCCAAAGCAGAATTTCTATTACACTAAAAAATGTTCAAACAGTATTTGTGTAGCATGCAGTTATGCAGTGAAGTACTACCTGCTTGTAGACACCTATGAAATGAGTATTTAATGCTCTAAGACAAATACCACAAATAAGACTTTAGTGTCCTGCAAGAGCTTAAAATAGCAAAAGCCAAAATTAGTCTGAACAGTCCAAGAGTGACTAGAACAGGTGCACTAAAGTAGCTGTAGTAGAAAAACTCCAGTCCTGCATAAAACCTGCCCTTTCAGCTTCTAGTAAGTCACACACAACTGTAGTTAAAAATATAACTATATTATTAGTTTTCATTTGGGAAGGGAAGAAAGTTATTTTCCTAAAATGTACTGCCAGGAAGTATTAAGACTAGTCTTGTAATCCCATTGCATTAGGAATGTCCATTAAATATAGCATAAAGTTCTTGCTCAGAGGTGTTGTTTTTTTTTAGGATGAGACAAATACTGATTTATTTTTCTAACATCATAGTAGTTATATCCCTTACTTACTGGATGTTAACTGAACAAAGAGATGAGGGTAAATCACACTGGGTAATACTCAGCAAAAAGTAATGATTTTAAATAGAGGCAAAACCCATGATGTGGGGCTTAAAAATTGCTACAAACAAAATGATAAAAATTACAGTATAGTAGAACACTTGTGCCTGGGCTTGGACCTGACCTAGGGCAACACATGGACACATGAGGCAAATAAAATGTGTATTCACAAATGTATACTACAATGCTATTTTCTGCAATTCAATCCCACCTTTTACCCAAATCCAAGACAATCTAAAATTAGCATATATTCAAGGTGGGATTGCAGCACACAAGCTGATACTGAGGCTAGAGGCTGCTAATGAGCAATTTTAAACAATACCGGTTCATACTCAAGTGTGTCTGTGTAACTTCACACTGTGGTAGGTAAAAGGAAATTTGAAGGAACTTAATTATCAGTAGAAAAAGGATTATTTACCTCTCATTTATTAAAGTAAATTGCCTGCAAACAGACAGCTGCTTTGCAGCGGCTGATGAATGGTGACTTTGGCATCATGCTTTAAGCATGTTTTTACCTTGATAAAATTATGACTTTTATAAGCTCTGAAATTATTTTAAACTTTGATATTTGAACATTAGAAAAATGTTCAAAAAGAGAAACACATTTGTAGGCGTAGCATAAAAAGAACATGCTGATTAGAGTACAATGCCGGAAATGGGGTATCTAGAGAATCAGTACTGTTCCTATAACTGACTTACAGCACAGATAATATTCAACGACACTCTTCAGGATGTAACGGATTCACAGAAAATATGAAACATGAACTGATTACAAAAAACAGCTTCTGCAGACTTTTCTCTAATTAAAGTTGTTTAAAGTTCTTAATCCAGATCAAAGTTTGTT